AAGACACACACACACACACACACACACACACACACACACACACACACACACACACACACATTCCTGCCCCCTTGCCACCCCAGGAGCTAAGAAATAGGACTAAAGCCCAGAACTGCTAGAACTACCCATAAACACAGGTATAGGTAGCAGTCTTTGTGTTCCGTTGTAAGCAGGACCACAAAGTCTGTTTAAAAAGCACTTACTTGTGAGTGGTCCAGAGGCCGGGCCTTCTCCAGAACTTTTCAGTGGTGTCTGAGAATGAACTCGCGAGCCCTGTCTCAGGGTGAAGGGTAAAGGCCTTGGCCTTGTGTGGTGACGTGCTGGAGGAACTCCGTTTCTTCCTTCAGTGTGTCGCCTGGCGGTTTCTGCGTGCTGCCCGGGGTACTGTATGCAGCAGGAGGTGTTGCTGCTTTTTGGCACTAATTTCAGAGCGTGTGCAGAACCTTTGCTTAGGTTTTTCTTCTTAGCTTTTCTTCTGCTTCCCAGAGTTGGGGAGCCAGCCGCAGTGTCATGCCCAGTCTGCTTGGAGCAGGCAGGCAGGACAGGGCTGCCGCGTCCCTCCCAGGGCTTGGGTCGGAGGGCAGAGAGTGGAGGCATGTCTCTCTTCTTCGGTTTTGAAGAACTTGCTCTTTGGAACCTATGTGTGCATTTGACTACACGGGACTTGGGTTGGATCGAGACAGTTGCTCCCAATGGATTGTGAACTTGGAAGAGAGAGTTCATTGATTCTGTTGCTCAGCGGGGAGGCCGTTGGAATGCCCCCTGCAGAGAAGCCAGCCATCCCTGCTGTTGGTTCTCACCTGGGTTTGCCCGCAGCCTCCTGTGTCCTTAGGATGCTGAGTGCTGGCAATTGCAAGTGGCTCCTGCGTCCTTGTCCGAAGCTGATGGCAAGAGAAATTCTCCCTACGGCAGCCTGAGTCCCAGGGACTGATGTGAACACAGACGTCAGGTGGGGCAGGGCCCCGGGGGCTGTGGAGACTTGCAAGGTGGAGTTGCTGCAAGGTTTTGAGGCAGGGAGCTCACTCTTGGGCTGCTGGGAGCTGAGCAAAGAGGTGTGTTTTCCAGAACAAAGTCCTGCTGCGTGTCTGCGCTGGTGCTGGCGGGGCATGCTTCTCTCTGCTCCCCGTGGTCTCACACTCCTCCTAAGCCTTGGAGGACCGTGGTACAAGGGAGCCGGGCGACTGTTCTTAAACAGAGAAGGTCCAGCCCACAGTTGCTTGCTTCTCCTCTCCAAATCTGACACAGCCATGGTATACGCTTTATAAATGTTGGTTTTCTCTTCTTTTTTCTTGCTAATTAATCAGTGGGTTTAAAACGTCTTCATTCAACATGAGGATTGTTTAATGGGCTTGCCTCTGGTGTGTGGCTCCATGGGAGATGCGCAGAGTAATTAAGAAGTTACCAGAAGCTGATCAGCTGGGAGCATGGAAAAGTCAGCATTTCAGTAAATGGATTTCTTCTGGAACTATCAGTAATGAGCAGTTTTTTCCTGTCCCTTTTAAGTAGTATCCCCTTCTCTCATTTGGTAATTTAATGGTATCAAGACATGTATATGTCAGTGCATACGTATGAGGTGTGACTGTAAGGTTGTGTGTCGAGTTTCTTTTCTTAATATCCAGAAGATCCAAGTGTTTCATCTCACCCCACGTTGCTTAAGAGGTGACCCTTTGCGAGACTCTGTGCTGATTACTGCCGTGCTAAGTAGAAACACTTTGCAGACGCCTCTGTTAGAATGGATCTGGGGGCCTGGCATGTTCCTCTGGTTATCCTTAGAGATGAGAAATCATCATCCTTTGAAGGCAGGTTTAAGTTTGGAAATAATCCCAAGTCATTCACTCAGTTGGATAAATAAAGATGGGTGATTAAGGTAAGTCACATCCTTTTAGCTTTTTTCTTTGAAAGAAGTCCTTAAGATATTCCTGGGGCATGAGTCTT